GACATTTTACATGTAAGTACACATTTTTAATTTTTATGCAAAAACAGTATGACCAGTCAAACCGTCAATCTCTTCCCAAAAGTTGCCTAGATCTAAACATTAGAGCATATAATTAAATTTTAGACAATTCTATCAACAGTTGCAAAAACACTCTCATCACCTCCTAATCCTTTTCCTCTGTTTCACACAATTCTTACTCTGCCCATCAACCAATCCACGTCTCAACTTCCCCATCCTCTTCAATCCTTTCTTATCCTTCGACAAGCGACCGTCACTAGAACCGGGCTTCTTACTATCAATATCAAAACCGGGCTTGCGATTATCATCAAAACCGGTCTTCTTATCACCAAAACCGGTCTTCTTATCACCAAAACCGGGTTTTTTACTATCAATATCAAAACAGGGCTTTTTATCATTAATATCAAAACCGGTTTCATTCTTATCATCATAACCGGGTTTTTTATCATCAATATCAAAACCGGGCTCCCCATTATTTTCTTCCAAACCAATTTTCTTATCCAAACCGCCATTCTCGAAAATCGAGCCCTTTTCTTCCTTGCATGGCAAGGCCCGGGACTGGGGACGAGGACGGGCAGTCCGGGGCCTAACGGGAGGATTGCAAGGGATAAAACTGGAGGTGGGCCTATGACTGTGGTACCCCATGCAGTGCTGCTTGTACTCACGCATGACGAGCTGCCTAAGGGAGAGTGCCGATTTGTACTCGCGCGTGCGTCTCGAGTAGAAGACGAGCGCATTGTTCGCGAGCAGCAAAAGGTCGCGAAAGAGCTCTTTGGCCGATTTTATGGATTTCCCGATGATTCTTGATTTTATGGTGCCGATGTCCATGTGCTGCTTGATCAGTTTTCTGTATCTTGCTCGTTTCTGTTGGTAGAAAATTTGTTAGAGATTTCTATTTGTTGCTCAAAGGAAAAAAATAAATAAATAAATAAATAAAATGGAGCTATTTTTCAAGTGAAAATTGATGATTTAGTTGTTGAAGAGCAAAGGACCCAATTAACCTTTTATAATTTAAACATAAACGGATAAACCCTTCTAAGGGGTTTATCATACACAAGCATTTTCTCAAGAGGGTTGATCAAGCATACAAATATGTCTAAGGGGTTATTTGTAATAATAAAAGACACGGGATCTTTTTTTAGTTATACTAATGGATAGGGTAGCTGAGGTAAATAACCTGTTTCTTTTTTCTTTTTTCTTTTTTTTGTGAAGATAGGATGCTGTAAGTTGTAACATCCCTATCACCATCTTAAGTTCCTTTCATCTTACTCTCAAGAACTTTGACAATTACATTTTAGAAATAATTGCAAATAAACCCCCTGACATCAAGAGCAAAGGCCTCATCATAAAGATCCACTCTCAAGTCTCAAGAGTGAAAATGGGCAAATCATGAGGCGAATAACATACCTCCCTGGATTGAATTGCAATGTTAAAAGATAAGTACACCATTTACTAGTGCAATATACTAAAACTCAGTTGTAGTTTTGCAATTACCCTTTTTTCCCTCGGATAAAATCTTGAAAACTCCCAAGTTAGAACTGATAAGCTGTTCTTAGATAAGCTAAATGCCTAATAGGCCAATAAACGAGTCAAGCCGAGCCGAGCTCGTTAAATAAACCATCCAAAAATCGAGCTCGGTTCATTCGTCACTATTGACGAGCCGAATTCAAGCCTTAACGAGCCGATCTCGAGCTTTAACGAGCCGAACTATAGGAAATTATATAAAAATTCTCGTTTTGAACCTTATCGAGACTAGCCGAACTCAGCTCGTTAAGGGCTCAAGCTCGAGCGAGCCAAGCCAAACTCGTTTAATTTAACAACACTAATGCCTAAACCTTCCATCTTATTTTATTTTTCCAAAAATTAAATTACGTAACATTTTCTCACACACACACACACACACAGTTACCTGACTGTCCATACGGTGTCTAAACACAGACGCGGGCTCACTCTCGGCAACACATCTGAAAATCCCGATCAACTCGTCTCTCTCCACACCCCACGACCCCTCATTCAACTCACCCGAAATCTCCTTCTCCGCATTTGAATTCTTAACAAAATCGTTACAACCCAAGTTATCACTCTCACCCACACTTCTCTCCTCAGCCGCCCTTCCACAGTCCCTTCTGCTCCTTTGACCCCTCCTCTTTCTCAAGACAATCAAAGGCCTGCAATCGAGCCCCGTCAGACTTGTCGCACGGGAATTCTTGTCGAGACCATTCTCAGAAGAAAGAGACGTGTTTATCTTAAGATGATTGTGACAGGGCCAGCTGGTTGTGGGCGTGGTGTCTTTCGTGAAGCTGCCTGCGGAGGTTTCATTGTTCGGTGATTGGGTCCAATTCGAGCCATAACCAGCTGGAGATGAGTTTACTTTCTCGGATTTTATTAAAGATTTGATCTTTGACTCGAGGGACCTGGATAAATAAACAAAAAATAACTCAGTTTTATTGAGATCAGTGCATAAATACATTTATGTTGTATGTATATTTAAGTTAAGAGACCCTATTGAATCTTCGGATTGTGCGAGTATTCGTTTTAGCTCCGCCACACGTTGCTTTCTCAGCTCGTCGAACCAGGCTCTGAGGCATCAGAGGAACAAATAAATATGCATTCCATTAGTTTGTGAGGATTTGAAAAACTCAAGTATAGAGAATTTTTTAATTTGGGCTTCGGCACAAACACTTCACAAACAAGAGTAATTCTTAAACGGGTTCAAGATGAATGCAAAGCATGCATGAGGACAACAAAAACTAAGTGAGTTCATGAGACGAGTGAGTTATAACTCACGTTGAGCCGGAATAACGCTTTTGCAGGTCCTCGTACCTTTCTTTACAAGCCTGCGAATTTAGTCGTACGTTTAGTCACTATTTATATTTAATAATTTAAAGGGCTTTCAGATGTCAACTGATAAACAAAAGAAGAGTGAATACTATTCATCGAGAAATATTTTCTTAAAAAAAAAATGTCGAAAGGAAATCATTTTCAATATCATTCAAAGTGAAAATTCGTAAATGCTTCGAAAAACTAACTTCACCACACACTCTTTTACTCAAACAGAGCAAAGAGTAAATTCACCTGCAGCAGTAGAGAATGTTCAAACACACTATCCACAAGTTTTGCATATGGCCCATGAAAGTGCACCAAGAAATCGAGCATTTATAATGAAATTTTTGGTTGCCATAACATTACAGAAAAAAACAAAAATTATAAATAAAAAATGACAAAGAGAGGGACCAACTTTGCAGCCCCACAATAAAAGGCTCATGTCATCTATGTGGTCTATTACGTAGGACCAAATATTCTAAAGTTATGGGTTAACATCAATTTTGACGAAAGGGCAATTTTGCACTTGATTTTCTCATCATGTCCATTTCGATTTTCCTAAAACAAGCAGCCGGTGGTAAGAATAGCTGAATGGGAGGTAGCTGACAGGGCTAGAATGGAATGGTTAGAATTTGATGTTGCTCTTGTTGACAGTAGGAAATCTTCTTGTGCAGCTGTTCAGCTTCAGGTTGATTCTGAGGAGTTTTGTTCTGAGTGGGTAGGACAGTGGTTGATCACTGTCAGTGCTCCTAGTTTTCTTCAGAATCAGTTGAAGCTGTCTTTTGTAGCTGAAAAGGATGGTGGTAATGAGCTGGTATTGGAACAATGCATCTGGTATAATGGCTGTTTGGAAGGTCAATGGCTAGAAGCTATTCGGTGGGTGATTCTGAAAGCTAAACAAGCAGGATGGCACAGAAGTGTCTGCAAAATAAAAAACAAAGCTGTAGCACTGAAGCTTGCCAAACAGCAGGAATTTGATTTGTGTTGTAATACTATAGCTCAAGACATATACTATCTTTTGTCATCCTTTGATGCTTTTCTCTTTGTTGGGGTTTCTTAGGCTTCTGTTTTAGTTTTCTGTTTTGTTTCATTTTGTGAGGTTAGGGTGGTCGTTTTGTGACTGCCCGTTGGCTTAGCAGACTTGGTTGATGTATATTTTGTAAATTTTTTGTGATCTATGATAAGTTGCCGTTGGAAAAANTCACACGTTACTGTTACTGTGCCCCATTGGAAAGGAAAAAAGAAAAGAATAAAAAAGAACATTATGTCTACATTGAGGTTGGCCTAATGGTTAGGTTAGCATACTTTTTTAACATATATATTAAAATGTTATTTCGTGATATAAGTATACATTTTTTTAACACCAAATAACATGATATATTAACTCAAATCTTTAGTTACAAGCTTAATCATCAATAAGGAAAATCACCTTTTTCTCAAAAAGTGTGAAAAAAAAAGGAGGCATTTTTTATTTTTTTCTAATACAATGGGTCGACTGCTTAACGGTTAGGCAATCTTAGGAGATGACTGGATATAAGTTGTTTTGGTTTTAGTTGGATTTGTTGGATAATCAAAAAGTTTTGAAATATACTGATTATTTGAAGGAATTGATAGTTAAAATTATTTGAGATTTGAATGACTTATTTATATTAGGAATAAAAAAATGACTTATTCATATTACTTAATTATATAGATAATTTTGAATAGGGTTGAGTTGAATTAAATTTGAGTTATTGAATTAAAACCAATCATGGTCTTACGTTTTCAAGAGATATAGATACGTTCAAATTAAAATGTCATAATCTAAAATACTACAAAAATAAAAGCACAATATTTTATAATATAAATTTGTATTTGTATTAAAAAAAATGAAGAGTCAGATTTACCTAATTTCGTGTAGAAAGAAATAAAAACAATTTCTTTGTCTACCTATCGAAAAAGATGCAATCCATATTCGCCCACCAGTTCATTTAATATGCAATTAATTTTCAATCCAGCACATGCATGATGCACCTCTAATTTAATTAATAAATTATTGACATTCTCATCATTCTTTATACATTAATTCAAACAGGACATATATCTAATTTTTATTTATCTAGACGAAATCTAACAAAAGAATATGTCAAAATAATCACATCCAAATTATCATTATCTCTTTAATTATTATAACATAAAAAAAAAAGGGAAAAGGGCAAAATGGGAAATATGAGGGAAATGCGGACCTGGGGAGTAAAGGCGAACGGATAAAGGGTGCGGGCACGGAGCTCCGAAGCGACGACGTTCCAGTCCGCCGTGCCGTGCCGCAGAACGGCGCCGCCTAGGATGAGCTCCTCCCACGTGCCCCAGACGCCGGCCTCCGCCCCCATCACGGTCGTCGCGCGCTCACGCCCGAAAAAGAAAAGTTAATTCGACCAACCAAAATTGAGGTGTGCAGGCATTAAAAGCTCCCTCGGACTATAGATTCATGAAAAACATACATGATTCCTGTTTTTCCTTTAAAATATTGCTTAATTTTCTGCAACCTATTGAGAGACAAAATGGGAGCAGAAAAAAAATGAAATTATTGCAGAAATTGTCGAAAAAAATTTGGGTAAGTTATCTGAGGAACCAAACAATTTTTAATTTTATTTTTTCTTTCGAATTTCGCGACTGGAAAAGGGAGGAGGAGAAAAATTGGTGTTTTGAGCGGGGAAAAAGTGAAGGAGAAAATCATGGAAGAAGGGGATTATTATTATTGGTGGATAAATGAAAAACATGGATGTAATATATATGATTATATGTTTTTTATTAAGAAAAAATAAAAAATAAAAGGAAATTAAAAATGTGCGGTTTTTCTTTTTCACACCATTTTGTCTGTGTTTGTGGGTCACATCACATGTTTTAGTTATCCAGAAATTACTCTCTGGCTGAACAAGTGAATTAATATTGTTAATATTTACTATTATCTTATCATTTATTTATACATATATATAAATTGGAATGGGAATTAAATAAATAATAGGGGGACAAAAGGTAGAACAGATAACTTGGACAAGAATAAAAGAATTAAAATATAGTACCCATCCTCTGACCTGCTCAATTTCTGGGCCAATAATTCGCAAATAAATTAATACTAAAAGATTATAAGATATCCCAACATAAATAAATTCAATAAAAAAAAGAATAACAGATTCCAGATTCATACTATAAGAATTCCATAACAATATTATCTCTGTTGCTATTAGATTTCACCAATGATCAAAACAAAATTAGCACAAAGCCAATCTAATTAACTTAACACATGCTTAAATGGGTTTACTGTATACATACAAAAAAACACAAAAATTACCGAACATATGATGAACTATCAATTGCCTTCCAGTTTCAGTCTTTCAGAGCTAATTAAACTAATACAAGTTTTACTTCTGTATAAGAGCTAAACTCAACTGTATACAGTACAAAGAAAAATTTCCAGATTATGCTAATGACACAGTATTAAGGACAGGTGATTTGTCTATGTTTAATCAAATTCTCCAAATTCCGAGCCACTAATGACGTCAAATTAGGATCCTCAAATCCGAGCTCCGGCCCGAGCCTGCATCAGATTCATACAAACCATTCAGGAATTAACACTCTTAAGTTAAATTATTTCAATTTTAGTCTCTATTTACTATTTTTCATGACTTTTTTAAATGCTTAAATTTTTTGCAATGAAAATAAGTTTTCCACATTAAATGTTGGTGTTGTGACAGAGACTTAAATTAATTGATAATTTATATGCAAAGAACATGGATTGCTTACTTGGGATCAAGAACCAACTTTTGAACTTCTTTAATGGATGCGCTTGCCGCATATAATGAGATTTTTCCGACCTGAATCATCCAGAATACGAGAGGCTATATCATTTTATTTCAATGTAGCGAACGAGGGATTACAAGGGCCCGGTTAAAAAAAGTAAATAAAATAAAAATAAATGTGTCCGACCTCCAGTACTTGAAGCTTGGCCTCATGGTTATTTGGAAGTCCCCGAATTTCTTGTGAGAGTCTCAGAGCTTGACCGAGACTTTCGGGAGAGAGAAAATCAAGCCCCAACCTTACCGAGGACTGTAGAAATGAAAAAGTGTAAAGGAAAGTTCATAATGCTTCTGTCTTGGATAATATATTACTACACACAAATCTGTGTAAAGGGCAAAAGAAGTAGGTTCATGCATAACATAATGTGTGATTAGTGTTTGTATTTACAAGAGCAGTTGAGCAACTATATAACATGTTTATGGATGATTTTACTAAAATTATGATAGAAGCTAGTTTAATTATAAAAGCAGCCACAGATATTCTTAATCTATAAAAGAAACTCTTTTTTGTGATTGGAGTTGGACTAAAGCTCCAAAGAGAAATTGTTGGTTGGATATGTAATTGAAGCATCTTTTCAGCTGAGCACATACACATTTATCTTAATAGAAACTCCATCCATAAAGGACTATTTTATGAGTGACTCACCTGGATATGTCTAACTTGGAAAGGACACCCAGCTGGCACAAACACAGCTTCCCCAATATGCTGTTCAAATGACCAAGGCTCCACCCCTTGAGATAAAAAGAAAGCCAAAAATATTACTTAATGCAATTGGAATAAAAGATTATTTGCTTATGCCTGAAAGTCAGAGAAATCACAATGAAATAATGTCATCCACTACACAAGAAATAGGATACAAACGTTGCAAATTTCAGCATATTGGAGAATTTTTGGTACTAAGATATAGTTAGTAACTTAATAGAGTTCACACATAGCGCCTTTGGACTGCCTGTGATAGTACGAAAAAGAAAACAATAAAAGAATACAACATTACAACGGCACTTACCAAATTCCTCTTTCAACTTGCTTTTATGATGCGTATTCAAGTATACTACCCCATCATATACAGGCCGAGGTACCTGTTAATTGAAAATGTTGCATTAGCTACATCACACAAATACTATCTTTGAGAGAGAGTATATTTTCAAAACAAACAAACCTGGAGTTACTTACACAATCATCAATTACATGATCAGCCATCCTGAATTCCTTGCGGTGCATGCTCATGTAATCCATTAGTTTGGGTATATCTTCTCGACGAAAGACGTCCCAAAAAGCTCCTGCTTCAGAATTTTCTAATATTTTCTCATTAGATCCACTCTCGGGATTATCTACAGTTTTCACTTCAACAAAAATGTTACCCTCGATTTGGGGATCATCCCTTTTCTCGAAGTCTTTTGAATGTGTTTTGGCATCAGAACTATCCAGTCCATCAAGTGACCAGTTAGGCAATCCACCACTGATTAAGTGATTTTCAGGGGTATGTTGTATCTGTGTTTTTGTTTTCGGCGAGCCTTTTGATTTCACTTCACACGTATGTACCAAAAGGAACACCTGATTACACACACACACACACACACAAAAAAAAATGTTATTCAATTATTCCAGAATTTTGCACTATTGAAGACACGAGTAAAACAGAGAAAATGATAGGGAAAAATATTAATTCATTTTTCCTCTTTGGAAATTTAAGTTCAAATTCATCAGCACATGTTAACTTCAGAGGAATGCCAGGAAAATTTGTTTTAATTTACTCCCAAGAAAACTAACTTTACTTAATTCAGATCGGAAGACAGAAATATCTACATTCGAAGGTAAATATAAGATATAAATCAAAACATTTACATGGAAAAAGGTATAATATAAGTTGCATAACATAAGTGCACCCAGGATCCCCACGGCAAAAGGTATAATACAATTGAAAGGGGCCATTGGTTCTCACCATGTCGCGTACGTTTAAATGAAGATTATCCGTGGAATCACCCTCTTCAAATTCTTCTCCTCTGCCATACGAAATAAATATCTTGGGACCAACATCATTTTGCAAGGAATAATGAGGCAATTTCGCAGCAACATTTAGAAGTCCCCATTTGGAGTGGATGAACTCGAGCAGGGGAATTTTACTGATGAAGTCGGGTCTCTGATACAACAAAAACTCTTCAGAGGCACTAGGTGAAGGCCAATCTTTCAGCTTTAACAATTGTGGCCTGCCATTTTCATTAACTCTACCATCAAAGTATCCTCTCATAAACTCTTCGAGGTCAATGTTGATCTGCAAGTACATTAGAGACCAAAATGGGGGATTACGAACGGATATAAGAAGTAGCATCTATAAATTAAATGAAAAGTAATATGAAAAAAAAATCCCAAGAATGCACTCTCTAAAAAAAGTGTGAAACTAAACAAATGCACACTAGCAACAGTAATGCGTACCTCAGTTAAATCAATGCAGTCAACAGCCTTCACGATTCTGCGTGCACCTTTCATTTTCTCGTCTGCTGTCTCTTTAATTCCTCTCCATATCAACATAGGATCCCAGATGGTCATTGCTGAAGCATCAAAGACCTCCTTAACAATAACAGGCTTCCCTCTGCTCCAATGAGTTCTAAAGTTTTTAATCCCTTCATTTCTCAGCTCTTCTGAGAGTGGGCAGTACAGGAAGTTGTCGCAATCATTCTCTCTGTATGCGGCCTTCAAAAGCTTTATACTTCCCCCACTTTGTTCTGGATAAACAGAACTATCTACCTTACAGCCATTGACCATTTCTTCAACATTTTTCACAAGTTTAGCAACCCAATTCATCTTGAAGATGCGCCTAAGAGTTAAAAAAGAGGACCCACAGCCTCCATAGGCATTGGGTGGACATAGAATACTTCCATCACTGTAAGCTTTCCAGTCAACAAAACTTTTAAAATAATTCAGCTGAACATCTAATAGCTTCGCGCGCTCGGTTGCAATGCCCTTGTTTTTTTGGTCAGTTCCAACAGCAATATGATTGATCTCTTCCTTTGCAGAAGGCTTTGATGCTTCCCTAACATCTTTGCAGCAGTTAAGGCATAGATCGTACGAGCAATTTGTGCAATGCCGGTGATAATCAATGATGGGTATCCTGCAGAAATTACTGCAAAGCGAACAGCAAAAACCACGTTAATTCCCCTTTCTCTACTTAAGAGGTATAAGATAGACTTGAATCCAAAAGGATATGAAAATGAGAAACATCCACTCAATGATGCACAAATCGCATCGATGTTGCCAATTACTTCGAAAGCAGAAGAAGAAAATTAACAGATAAATATAGTATAATTCTTTTTCATGCAAACCAATGAGAGAGATGGAAAGAGAATGTGAATCTGGGCCAACTCACCAGCACATCTGCTCATCAGCATTTAACTTCGTCCTGGCGAGGTCTATATCATTTCCTGGAAAATTTAGTTAACACATATTCATTCATGCAATACATCAATCACAGTGATATTACTTACAACATGCTACTGAAGCATTAGTCATCATACCTCGGAGCCTCTTCTCCAGCTCCACCTCATAGCACTGCTCAGAATGGATTTGCTTCACAATAGGGAGCACAGCAGATAAAAGAGAGTACAGGTACTGCAACTTGTCTTTGGCAGGTATTTCTCGAATCCTCGCCTTGAAAATAAAAATTACAAAGATTCCATCAATCAAAATAATCATATTTTCTGGAAACATGAAAAAGGAAAATAGAGAAAAAAAANCTGAAGTACCTTAATCAGATTATCTCCCCGCATACACACCCTGCAACTACAAGTACCACGGCATGCCGGGCAAACTCTCTGGATTTCATCTACAGGGATGTCAGAATACCTAAGAAATGATGCACCAAAAATTGTGAGTTCAGGAACTTGGTGTAAAAATGAAGTGCCTATGTTCGTATTTTATCTCACCATGTCGAGATGCAGTTCTCACAATATCCTCTTCTTTCACATTTGAGGCACCAAATCACACCATCTTTCACATTGGCCCGACACTGATGACAAGGCTGACCCATATTATCATCAGAAGAGTCTGAACTTCCATCAGAAGTCTCCTACAATTAAAAAATAAAAAATGAATAAATAAATAAAAAATTGAAGACTAAAAAAATTAAGTGAAAAGGCAAGGTGGGAGGGCATTTGGACACTGTAATACGCACAAATAAGACAACAAACAACAGCCATGATGGGCCCAACTACTCACCATCATAGGACTAATCTCTAACATCTTCTGAGATCTGCTTCTGTCTGAATCCGCCGCTGATGAAGGCGTTCGGTAAGATCTCCTGCTGTCCTCATATTCAGACCCGTCTCTATCAAGGTCATCGGTTGACCTTAGAGAACTTCGGCCAGAGAAAGTCCTTGCAGCCGGGGTTTCAGGCGAATAATCAGCCTGGGATTTCGACAACTTCGCCTTCTTCTTCTTCAAAGTGGATCCAGAGTAATCGCCAAACTGCGAAATGAGTGGCACATCCATATCATCGCTCTTGCTTTCCAGATAGATATCACTTTCGCCTAAAGGTTTCCTCTTGGCCTTCTTCATGCTCGCCCGCATGGCAGAATTTGCTGCCCTCTTCTTGGCCTGGATATAATGCTTTTCACATACCGTCTTGTCCGGCATGGACATGGCCGTGCATCTCCACTGCTTCCCATCCGACCTCTTACACCTCAAATCATCAGGAATTCCCAAATTGTCCTCACCACCCCCGACCATCCTTGGATGATCCATTTATAAACTGTCCTGGTAGCAAAACCATATAAAATGGACTGACTACACACAACAACAAGAGCAAATGAGAACATCCGCAGGTTCATTTTTCACAGTTCACCAAACCCCTAAGAAATTCGAAAGCCCCAAAAACCTAATTCGAATTAACAAACAAAAGCCACCTCCAATTCGAATCAGCACAAACAGTAAACTACCACCACTGAAACAAAAGCCCAAGTGAGAATACACTAACAGGCGCATACATCTTATTAACATAAAAAACGTATAAGAAAAAGTACCAAACATAATTAAGCACGTAGAGATTCTTCTAAAAGAAAAATGAATTCAATTCGAGTCTCCTTGAGAGCGAGAGAGAGAGAGAGATGCAGAGTGTACCTTGAGAGCGTGGATGATCTGAATTTCTCGAGTATTTTCGAGCTACGAATTGGGGTTTTAAATCCCTCTCTTTGTCTGTAATTTTTCGAGGTTGAAAACTGAAGCGAAAAATTTAGCAGAGAGCAGCCACGGTTTGCGCAGGGTGGACTGTAGAAGGAGAATCCAAACGACGTCGTTTTCGTTCGCATTTTTGCTGTGTTTTTTACTCTCTTTTAACTTTTCCAGTTTACCCGTGAGGCTTTCTGGTTCAGGACTTATCGTTTAGGATAAAATTGGATTTATGCACAGAGTACAAATACGGCTTGAACTTGAATAAATAAATTAATTAGTTAAATAAATTGTTACCAATGTATTAATATTTTATGTTCAGAATTATATACGATATGATATGGACAATTATTTACATTATTTAAGTTATAAGAATGTCTAGCGTAAAATTTTAAGATATGTATTTTAAAAAAATCATGGTTAATGGTGTAAATTATTTACAAAAGTAAAATCATTAACTCAAATTCAAAATATAACTTTTACTTAACTCATAGCAAGAGCCAATCATCGTCTTTGGATAATAATTTGATGTGATTAGACATTCTTTCAAAGTATTTATCCTTCCACAAATTAAAAAAAGAATATATTATTCATTTATTTTATGTTTTAAAATTTGTAATACAATGCTTAAACTAGAAATCAAACATTCTACAAATTTATGAAAAAATATTACTATTTAATCATTTGTATACTTATAACTATAAATGGTTATTTTATACTTTTTTCCTAATAAATTACATTAATTAGTATTTTCATATCAATATTATTTTACATTATTAATATTATTACATAAAAATTATCACTTATTCCACTAATTCAACGAACCAAAAATTTTCATTAACATCTAATGATATTAACATAAGTATGTAACCAACCATATTACCCATCGTAACGCCCAATGCGATTCAATATATATTTAAATACTGAAATTTATAATGTTTCTGTAGGTTACTTTTGAGATCTCGATTTGTTTTGAATCATAATTGATTATAATTGTACTTGATATGTGCATTGCACGAATAGTAATACATTTTTTAGCTAATAATAATTTTATCTCAAGATACACACTTATGATCAGACTCGATACTCATTTACATTTTTATAGAACAGTAATAATACATTTCGTAGCTAATGAAAAACTTTATCACATAATACACACTTTAAGACCCGACTCTGACTTCGGCTCAACTCATTTATAGAAGGTGAGAATGTGTAGTTATTAAATAAACCATGTGCATATATTATACTGTATTTGAAGTGTATATT